CACGTTTCCTCATTTGCTTCTATAATAAAAAATATAAATGAACTGATATGTGTAAAGTACCTAAAACATGGTAGACATCTAATAAATATAAATTTTCTTTTCTCTGCTTGGGTTTCTGGACCCACTCATTACTTCTCATTGGAAGATTTAAGGGGGGAGATAGGATCAAATCGTATTTTGTAGACTTCAATTAAGCACTGCCATTTTCTTAAAACTGATGTCCTTTTATTACTAGAGCACATAATTGCTATTTGTTATTCCAGCATTTTCATGAATACTTAAGCACTCCTTTTCACTTGTATATCCTTAAAGAACTAGTATGTTGGCATTATTTTAAGATAAGATTCTCGAAAGCACATTCAATAGTTTTTGTGGAGCATTTAAGTGGATACAAAGATTGAGGAGTACCCAAATAGTTACCATCTACCAAGGATCAAAGTTACATCATCATATTAGGACAACTTGAGAAAATAAGGGATGGGAAAACAGAGTTCTTGAATAATTTTGTTTGTTTGCTCTCATTGCATGCAGTGAAAAACAAATCCTCTTGTGATTCAAACATTAATAAAACATTCTAGATAGCTCTCAATGTCTTCAGTACGTATATTGCTGAAAATATTAAGTTTTTGTAGCTATTTTCTTAGCTACATAGACGTCTTATTCTTAGCAATGACAGCTAACAACACTTTCTCTTTTGTAGGGGATCAGTTAAATCCAAAAGGGTCCTGGGACACAAACGATCCCTGCAAATATTTCCTGATGTCGGAAAGACACTTCTCTTGCCCATTTATCCTTGTAGTAGCAAAGTGATATTAAGTTCCTTAGTTTGACTGGAAAAGAAAATCACCAAAGTAGGGCTCAGTCAAGGGAAAAAAATCATTGTATGTTCAAATATAATACTGCGGTTCAAAACGAAACAGCAAATGTTGGAGACAGTACCCTTCAGGTCAGATGAATAAGAGCTGCAGGTGAAGAGTGATACTCTCCTTTCTTGCTAAGATTTTGCTATCGCAGAAGATTTGGAGGTGGGATATTAAATTATTTGCTCTACTTTATGACCACTGCATAGTATTCTAGAGCCTCCTATGTGAAGAAAGCTCATGAAAATAAAATATAGAGAAAGAGGCGGAAATGTTGAAGCCCTTCATTGAGGTTCTTTAGACCAGTGACCACAGAAGAGATCCCACAGTATCTAGAGTTCAGTGCTGCCTTAAGGTTCAATGAATAAAGACATAAAGACAAAAATCCTTATGCCTTCCATTACTGAAGTATTAGCTAATAAGTGAACAAAGACATCAGGATACTTGGCTGAATTTCCCTCATTTCTTCAGGATTTCTGGAAGCATACAGATGTTGAAATGACCCCTTTGAATCAAATGTATTCTACTCTATGGTAAATGAACTTCTGCTTCAGAAGTTCACTTGAAAGAAATTTGATGAAAGGCTTGATGTCTTGGTCATCTGCAATTTTCCTCAGTTTATGCACACTGGGCTCTGGATAGGAAAGAAGGACTTTCACAGAGCATGAATCGAGCATCTATACTGTTTTTCACACCCACCTCAAATCTGAACCCTTTGAAAAATAGGGGTGTAAACTAACTTTGTGAAAAAACTGGTCTTGGTAGTCCATAACCTAAAACACATTGTACTACAGGGGTTTAATCTAACTTTGTGAAAAAACTGGTCTTGGTAGTCCATAACCTAAAACACATTGTACTACAGGGAAATAATATCCTGAGGATTTTTTTTTTAAAGGAAACACACTCCCCAGAAGCATTAGCATTATGCTTGGTTTCCTTCCACGTCAGGTGTCACACTTTATAACGTGGGATACCTCTGCTTACACAGATCTATTTCAATAAAGTTGTTAAAACTCAGATTGTGAACCCCACTGGTTACTAGCTTATGGAGTTTTTATATTTATGTATTCCTCTACAAAAAAAGCTTTATTTGTGGATGGAGTGAGTACTGCCTATTTGTAAAGTCCCAAATGGGTCTTCTTGTGCCAAAGCCTATTATCCTACCATTATAATTCCATGTTTTTGAGTCCTGAAAACTTTTTGTATTCAGAAGTTCCCTATTATACTTGTATGCACAGCTCTTCAAGCTTATGTTTCTAAAATTGCAGTAGATCTACCACCTGGCACATGCAGAATTGTGTCAAGGGAATGAGAAACTATATAATAAATATGACATCTCCTCCTGGAAAATAAATTTCACTTGAAAATTTTGATGCAGAAAGTGAAGTGATTTAAATGAAAATTTAAACACATTTTCTATTTAAATATATATATATATATATTTATATTGTTGAGGAGAATGCTAAGTGTGTGTAAATTGTTAGGCTGAAACCCAAAACTTCAAATAATTTCAAGGATATGGAGTTCGTGCTAGTGATTTTCATTTGTTTGTTTCAAATGGCACAAAGTACCCAGGTGGCTTAAACACACACACACAAAATATTTGCTTAGATAAATGAAAAGTCCAGGAACGGGACTGGCTTTAGATACAGCTTGTCCAGAGACTCAAAAGATGTCTCCTAGACTTTGTTTTTCTTCATCCTCTCTCAGAATCTTCCCTCCTCCGTACTGACTGTATTCTTATAACCAAAAGATGAGTGCCAAAGCTTCATATTTTATATCTTCTCTGTCTTTAATCTCAGGGGGAAAAAAGCAAGAGTCTCTTTCCTAGAAATCTCAGGAGAAAAGAAACCTTGAATCTCACTGACTCCGGTTGGGTCACTGAATGAATCATGGTGGCCAGCTATAGAATTAGCCAAATGTCACACCCACCCTGGAACTTCAACAGAAGTCTATAAATTGAGAGTGGAAGAATCCCCTCCCCACTAGGTAAATTGTGGGATGTTTCCCAGAACAAAAGTGAATCATGCCAGGTGGCATGTTTTAAACACACACACGCATTGCTGTCGCCCTACCTCACCTCATACACACACACAACACCTTCCCAGGTTTAGTTCCATATCTTAAGGGTATGCTGGTGGAAAAGAATCTGAGACACACTGCTTTAACTTATCCACCAGCACTTTAGCAGGGATTAACAGCTGGTGGAATCCAGCAACGCTCACTGGCGATAGGATAGAAGTACCCAGATCAGAGGCTTCCGATGCACTGACAGCAGATGCACCAAAGATCCTTAGCTCCTGAGTTCCTTTAGTGCTTTTCTCACCTAATGACTTGCTGATGGGAGATAAACCTAGCTGACTTAGTCAGCGTAGGCAGAGCTGGAGGAGTGTTTGCAGGACAAGGCCTTTTTGAACTCATCTTCAAGGTTGGCCAAGATAGTTGCCAACAGTATAATGAACCATAATAATGACACTGCAGAGAGCTGTAAAGTGCAGGATGATCAATGCTGAGCTCACAAAGTATCTGATACTCTAGGCAAACCACACAACTGGGAAATTCCTTGTTAATGGATGAACTTTGTTTCTCTCCAAATTTCAACAGCAAGGGGTTTTGTTTCACGTGCTATAGCACTGCACTATATTTTCCCATACTCCTTTTTCCCCAAAAGCAGATATCTTGCTCTGCCTCAAGAGATTACATTGAGTTTATTATGAAATTTATTTTCGTGTAACTACTTGTTAAATATACATGAGGTAGTGGATTTTGCTAGAGAGAATCCAGATTTTGTTTAAGGTGGAAATGTGCCCAGAAAAATAAACCCTCCATATTCCAACCTTGATCACAGATAAGGGTGACCTTGGGACATATTTCTGACCATCGAGATATAGGCAGAAAGCTTCTGTGGATTTCCTTCCCACTTCAGTGACTTCCTGACACACAGACATGAAGGTTGAGCTGAAGTAGCCATTCTGTGACCATGTGGTGACACACATGAGGGTAAAACCGTGTGTCAAGGAAAGTACAAAGGAGGAAAGAGCCTGGAACAATGATAGAATGTGCTGTACCACCCTGGGTCTAGGCTTAGTTGTTAGATGAAAACCTTAACGTATGTTGTATGAAGCCGCTATAATTGACTTTCCTTCTGTTGCAGGCAGCCAAACATGTTCTTAATCAGTAAAGGCTGCTTTTCAAAATTCTGCAAAATCTATTGATTTCTCACAACCATGGCAGAAAATTAGTCCAAAATAAATCATTCCACTGGAAGTTCAGCCAGTATAATTTCTCCCCATTTTCTTTTTTTCATTTAATTGATTTTATTGTAACTGGATCAGGTCTGAGATGAGGGAAATGGAAATAGCCTTGTTATAAAGAATCAAACATTATAATGGTTCTAACTGAAATTAAGCTTTTCTTATAGGAGAATTATAAATATATGAGCATTACAAGAGCTGACTATACACTTTCAAGTTCATATTTTCTGCCAACAGATTTGATCTTTCACCATCATGTAATCCAGATAAAAGGAATCACTTGTCCCATATCAGGCATAATGGGAAATGGCACAATCCCGAGAATATGGGGGCAAGGAGTGCCCCTCTTTGACCAATTAGCAGGTCAAAGGTGACCTACTTCATCTCTCCTATGAAAAAATGTGCTTCACCATGACATGGAAATCAGACTTGATTTTAGACCACATAGTAGGGCTTTCCTCTTGATGTGAAACTAATAACAATAGCAGCTGTGTTTTTTTGTTTTCTTTTTATTCTCAAACTGATTGTTAATGAGAAAAAACGCGGAGCAGTTAACAATGCAGCTCAAATCTTTAGTCTTCTCTTTCCAACTCAAGCACTGAAATATGACACTCCTTTCATAATATTCTGGCCACCACATTCTCTCTTTTCTTTTTGGCTTCAGAGTCCTTTCCAAAAGGAAACATGCTGCCTGGCATTCTATACTACTCCTAATTTCCAGGTGGAAAAATGAGACAGATGAAGTGACATCTAAAAACATCGGGGATTATATTTTTAAAAACAAGACAGTAATTCAGATCTTCTTGCTTTAATTCTTCTCTGTGTTACCATGACAAAATATTTATCAAAGTTCAAGAGATTACTGATATGCAATAATGACCAATGACTACACATTAATGGAGCTATTCATAATAAACTCATTAGTGAAGTAACTGGAAAAGAAGTTTAAATATAAAGAGTGATTTTCACTATTCTGTTTATACAGTATTGAAACAACCATAACTTCAAACACCCATAAAATTGCAAAACTCTAAGTAACATTAAACAATAATTGATAACTCTGAAATACTGCAACATCCTGAAGTATCTTCCAAATGACCAAAAACAGATGAAATTTTGTTCAGTATAACTTCAGTTTTTTTACACAGAATTATGTATTTTAAAAACTGTAATCCATGTAAGATATACACAAAACCCTGAACTGACTAGATTGTTCAATCAATAATACTCCACACTGCTTTGTTGTTATGGACAAATGAGCTTATAATTCAATGAAACCCATTTAAGAAATTCTAATCTATAGAATGACATGTTCAAATTGTTTGTTTTATTAACAAAAACCTCCTATTCCTTTGTCAGATGTTTAATTCCTCTAAATATCATCTTTAAAAGGCCTGAGCTGATTGTCGTCAAAATAAACCACAGGTCAAGTGCAACCCTCCAGTATCCAGCCTATGGGCTCTTCATGAGTTTTGGTTCCGTGTAAGCCACACAATGACCTTCCCATGAGTTTTCCATTGGAGATTCCACAGTCTAGTTTTAACGGTCTCCACAAAGTATCCCTCCCTTCTCTAGGCTTTGGGTAGAATGTCAAATTAATAACGGCATGTGGGTGCTTGCTTCGGCACATACACTAAATTGGAATGATACAAAGAAGATTAGCATGGCCCCTGTGCAGGGATGACACGCAAATTCGTGAAGCGTTCCATATTTTTAAGCTGGGATGAAGTGAGAGAGTGGCATGGACATATATACACTACCATATGTAAAACAGATAGCTAGTGGGAAGCAGCCTCATAGCACAGGGAGATTAGCTCGGTGCTTTGTGTCCACCTAGAGGGGTGGGATAGGGAGGGTGGGAGGGAGACGCAAGAGAGAGGAGATATGGGGATATGTATACATATAGCTGATTCACTTTGTTATAAAGCAGAAACTAACACACCATTGTAAAGCAATTATACTCCAATAAAGATGCTAAAAAAATAAACAACAAAATAAATAAACACTGATATAAGGGGAAAAAATGGCAGGTGGTGTTCCTTAGCATAGCCTGCCAAAATGTGATAATTTCCTTGGAAGAAAAGCCATGGGCTGCAATCATGCATCTGAGTTGACAGACATTCAGATGGATCCTATATAAAAAGAAAAGGTTGGTGTCTTCTGGAATATGAATGTCCACTTTTAATAAATTCAAACAGATCCCAACATAAACATCTTCAAACTTGATGGGTTTTACGTGACTCATCATTTCATAGATTCTTGGCACCAAATTTCTGGATATTATATAACCCAACCCACCGCAGTAGGGAGGAAACACCTTGAAGGGATACCCCTGGTATGAAAAATGGGGGTTTTGGTAAAATCCTCTATAGGAATAATCATCAATTAGAGGACAACTTGTGAAAAACTCCCCTGAGTGGTTTAAATTTAAAAGATACTTCACTAAGTTGCCAGTATTGATGAAAACACCAGTGTCTGTCTTCGTGATGTACCACGCGTTGGGGCAAAACTCAGTTACCCACCTAAATGCCATAATTGTTTTCAAGGTCACATTATTGTATGTGTCTAAAAAATCTTGTATTATGTTGCCATAAAGGAGGTGTTCATCCTCTAAGGATAATGCTAATACTTTGTCTTCCCTTTCAGCCTACCGGCCTAATAAGAAAAATGTAAGAACCTCATATCTCCACCAAGACTTCTTTTCGCCCCGAGTAACTCTAATGGCCCGTCTGGCTTTCACATCTGAGGGGTGTGAGGTCACCGGGATGACAAGACATGCATTTTGATGAGAGCAGCTCCAATGCTCTCGAAGTGTGAAGCGGAAGACTTGTCTGTAAATGGGCTCATAGTCATAGAAGTACATACAGTTCACGCGTTCTAGCACATTGTAGTAGGGAAGACTGAGGTACCACATCACCAGGAAACTCAGGAGCGACGGCAGCAGGAGGCTCCAGGGATCTCAGTGACATCCACCCGGAAGGGTGGTTCGGAGCTCCGGGGCCATTCACAGAAGCTCAGGAGCACGCAAGCCTCGGGTTCTTGATTTACTTCTTCTGAGTGAAAGACCTTCAGTTTCATCAACTGAACATTCCATAGCAAGTGGTAGTCAAAACTAATGCTTGAAATTTCTACTGAAACAAGACTCTCAGATTGGCCTAAAACTCTGCCATATACTGCTTACAAGATACATGCCTGTAGAATTTCAGATGAGACTAAAGCACTAGTTGAAGTCTTTTGTTTCCCGTATTCCATATGCTTTAATTAAACGATTTGCCGTGAACTCTCCAGCGCGCCGCGCGCACCCTGCTCCAATGCGGGCAGAGGGCCGACCCTCCCCTCTCCCCATTTTCCAAGGCCATGTTAATATTGACATCTTGGACAAGTCACTTAACATTTCTGAAACTCACTTTCTCCATCTCTAAAGTGGTATTAACGTATCACCTATTCCCTAGGTTTGTTATGAGGATTAACTGAGATAATCTGTAAATATTTCCTGGTAAAATATAAGCACTAAAAAATGGAATCCATTATTATTAATTATTATTTAATTGTATAATCTTGGAAAGAAACATATCAAAGGCGCATAGTAAACCCCTAATATGCATTTATGAATGAGTGGTTAACAGTGGTTGTCTATTTGTTGGGAGTAAGAGAGTTGGTGATTCTTTTTTCTCTTCTTCTGCATTTTCTAAATTTTATTGAATAAACATATTTATTATTTTATAAGAACATTTGTTCACCTCTCCGTCCACCCTAAATACCTAATAACCAAAATTATATATATTATATAATATTTACTATAATATATAATTTGATATAATAAATATATTTAATACATGTTTTAATATAGTTATTTCGTATTTAATTGATAAAGTATAGATTTATAACATATCTGAGGCTTTATTTAAAAGACTAAGAGTGTTAGAATGAGGGGGAAGATGCAGTGATGCCTCTGTGAATACAAACACATATGCACATATACATGCATAGACAGTCACAAATTATAGCAATAAGCTATTTGAACAAGACACACTTAAACCATGGCATCAAGAGTTTAAAAATAAATATGTAGTCTATAAATAAAGAAAGCAAGGATAACAATATTATTATCTGACATATAAAATTCAAGGTGACAAGCATCATACAGTAAGAATGCAAAGAGCTTGAATTATATTATTAATAATGTGGCCCATTTTTATATGGTAGAATACAGCAAATACGTAATTATGTTGCTGCGTTAGGAATTAAGAATTTCTGTGTACGAAAATAAGGGATCAAAATAAAATGACTCAGCAAAAACTTGTAATGTTAAATCTGAATTGGAAATACTATTAAATCATGAACTTTTTCTTTAAAAAGTATGTATTCCCTAGTTCTGTCCACTTAAAATGCCTGAAGGCAATGACACCCCCAGGAGCAATGAGTCCTCCTATATGTAGACTGTGCTCCGTAAATACCAGGGTTCTTTGGATAAGTGGCTGATTACAAGTCTGAAGCATAACATTAGACTTGCCTGAGACATCTTGTTCTAGAACTCACGGACACTATCACAGACTAATGGGGTTACAACCAGATGACACAGGAATCACATGAAGGAAGAAGGGACACGTGAACGCCAAAGAGCGCAAAGTCTACAAATTATTAAATCTATGGAACAGAAAAGTTATGAGTTAAAAAAGGAAAAGAAAAGAAGAATTTATAGTAGTACTTAATAAAGAGAAAGCCAAAATAAACTCAAATCCTGAAGATTATTGCAAATAACCATTACAACAAAGAAATCTAGCTAATGAAAGTGAAAGAGAAGATAGAATTTTAAAAATAATTCGACTTCTGGTTTCCAGTTCCATATGCAAGGAGCCTGGAAGTCACTCCATCATAGCAACAAGCAAAAAGCTGAACAGACTGAAAAATCAACAATTCCTCATGGATTCATAAGAGAGATTGAGGGCACAGGACAAATCCCCAGCACTGGAGAGACAGATGGCTGAGTACAGGGAGTCACATAGAGTCAGGAGCATAAACTGCCACAGGGACCAGTGCCAGGGTGGGAAAACCTCAACTATAATTAAAGAGCTGCTGGAAGCTCAGTGTGGACAAGTCTGAGAGTTAAAAACTTTGGGCAGACCCTATCACATTGAGATCCCCACGCGTTTTGTAAGTTTTACCCCCAGGAGCTCAACCAGATTCTCACTGTAAATACTAGAGAAAAATCCCCTCTTGCTTCCAGCAGCGGGAGGAGAAAAGAAAGAAACTGGAAATGAACCACAGTACTCTGGGTTGTTTTTTTTTTAATGGATAAAACAAACTTTATTTTATTTATTTTTTAAAAATTTATTGTAGGGCTTCCCTGGTGGTGCAGTGGTTGAGAGTCCGCCTGCCGATGCAGGGGACACGGGTTCGTGTCCCGGTCCGGGAGGATCCCACATGCCGCGGAGAAATAATATCCTGAGGATTTTTTTTTTAAAGGAAACACACTCCCCAGAAGCATTAGCATTATGCTTGGTTTCCTTCCACGTCAGGTGTCACACTTTATAACGTGGGATACCTCTGCTTACACAGATCTATTTCAATAAAGTTGTTAAAACTCAGATTGTGAACCCCACTGGTTACTAGCTTATGGAGTTTTTATATTTATGTATTCCTCTACAAAAAAAGCTTTATTTGTGGATGGAGTGAGTACTGCCTATTTGTAAAGTCCCAAATGGGTCTTCTTGTGCCAAAGCCTATTATCCTACCATTATAATTCCATGTTTTTGAGTCCTGAAAACTTTTTGTATTCAGAAGTTCCCTATTATACTTGTATGCACAGCTCTTCAAGCTTATGTTTCTAAAATTGCAGTAGATCTACCACCTGGCACATGCAGAATTGTGTCAAGGGAATGAGAAACTATATAATAAATATGACATCTCCTCCTGGAAAATAAATTTCACTTGAAAATTTTGATGCAGAAAGTGAAGTGATTTAAATGAAAATTTAAACACATTTTCTATTTAAATATATATATATATATATTTATATTGTTGAGGAGAATGCTAAGTGTGTGTAAATTGTTAGGCTGAAACCCAAAACTTCAAATAATTTCAAGGATATGGAGTTCGTGCTAGTGATTTTCATTTGTTTGTTTCAAATGGCACAAAGTACCCAGGTGGCTTAAACACACACACACAAAATATTTGCTTAGATAAATGAAAAGTCCAGGAACGGGACTGGCTTTAGATACAGCTTGTCCAGAGACTCAAAAGATGTCTCCTAGACTTTGTTTTTCTTCATCCTCTCTCAGAATCTTCCCTCCTCCGTACTGACTGTATTCTTATAACCAAAAGATGAGTGCCAAAGCTTCATATTTTATATCTTCTCTGTCTTTAATCTCAGGGGGAAAAAAGCAAGAGTCTCTTTCCTAGAAATCTCAGGAGAAAAGAAACCTTGAATCTCACTGACTCCGGTTGGGTCACTGAATGAATCATGGTGGCCAGCTATAGAATTAGCCAAATGTCACACCCACCCTGGAACTTCAACAGAAGTCTATAAATTGAGAGTGGAAGAATCCCCTCCCCACTAGGTAAATTGTGGGATGTTTCCCAGAACAAAAGTGAATCATGCCAGGTGGCATGTTTTAAACACACACACGCATTGCTGTCGCCCTACCTCACCTCATACACACACACAACACCTTCCCAGGTTTAGTTCCATATCTTAAGGGTATGCTGGTGGAAAAGAATCTGAGACACACTGCTTTAACTTATCCACCAGCACTTTAGCAGGGATTAACAGCTGGTGGAATCCAGCAACGCTCACTGGCGATAGGATAGAAGTACCCAGATCAGAGGCTTCCGATGCACTGACAGCAGATGCACCAAAGATCCTTAGCTCCTGAGTTCCTTTAGTGCTTTTCTCACCTAATGACTTGCTGATGGGAGATAAACCTAGCTGACTTAGTCAGCGTAGGCAGAGCTGGAGGAGTGTTTGCAGGACAAGGCCTTTTTGAACTCATCTTCAAGGTTGGCCAAGATAGTTGCCAACAGTATAATGAACCATAATAATGACACTGCAGAGAGCTGTAAAGTGCAGGATGATCAATGCTGAGCTCACAAAGTATCTGATACTCTAGGCAAACCACACAACTGGGAAATTCCTTGTTAATGGATGAACTTTGTTTCTCTCCAAATTTCAACAGCAAGGGGTTTTGTTTCACGTGCTATAGCACTGCACTATATTTTCCCATACTCCTTTTTCCCCAAAAGCAGATATCTTGCTCTGCCTCAAGAGATTACATTGAGTTTATTATGAAATTTATTTTCGTGTAACTACTTGTTAAATATACATGAGGTAGTGGATTTTGCTAGAGAGAATCCAGATTTTGTTTAAGGTGGAAATGTGCCCAGAAAAATAAACCCTCCATATTCCAACCTTGATCACAGATAAGGGTGACCTTGGGACATATTTCTGACCATCGAGATATAGGCAGAAAGCTTCTGTGGATTTCCTTCCCACTTCAGTGACTTCCTGACACACAGACATGAAGGTTGAGCTGAAGTAGCCATTCTGTGACCATGTGGTGACACACATGAGGGTAAAACCGTGTGTCAAGGAAAGTACAAAGGAGGAAAGAGCCTGGAACAATGATAGAATGTGCTGTACCACCCTGGGTCTAGGCTTAGTTGTTAGATGAAAACCTTAACGTATGTTGTATGAAGCCGCTATAATTGACTTTCCTTCTGTTGCAGGCAGCCAAACATGTTCTTAATCAGTAAAGGCTGCTTTTCAAAATTCTGCAAAATCTATTGATTTCTCACAACCATGGCAGAAAATTAGTCCAAAATAAATCATTCCACTGGAAGTTCAGCCAGTATAATTTCTCCCCATTTTCTTTTTTTCATTTAATTGATTTTATTGTAACTGGATCAGGTCTGAGATGAGGGAAATGGAAATAGCCTTGTTATAAAGAATCAAACATTATAATGGTTCTAACTGAAATTAAGCTTTTCTTATAGGAGAATTATAAATATATGAGCATTACAAGAGCTGACTATACACTTTCAAGTTCATATTTTCTGCCAACAGATTTGATCTTTCACCATCATGTAATCCAGATAAAAGGAATCACTTGTCCCATATCAGGCATAATGGGAAATGGCACAATCCCGAGAATATGGGGGCAAGGAGTGCCCCTCTTTGACCAATTAGCAGGTCAAAGGTGACCTACTTCATCTCTCCTATGAAAAAATGTGCTTCACCATGACATGGAAATCAGACTTGATTTTAGACCACATAGTAGGGCTTTCCTCTTGATGTGAAACTAATAACAATAGCAGCTGTGTTTTTTTGTTTTCTTTTTATTCTCAAACTGATTGTTAATGAGAAAAAACGCGGAGCAGTTAACAATGCAGCTCAAATCTTTAGTCTTCTCTTTCCAACTCAAGCACTGAAATATGACACTCCTTTCATAATATTCTGGCCACCACATTCTCTCTTTTCTTTTTGGCTTCAGAGTCCTTTCCAAAAGGAAACATGCTGCCTGGCATTCTATACTACTCCTAATTTCCAGGTGGAAAAATGAGACAGATGAAGTGACATCTAAAAACATCGGGGATTATATTTTTAAAAACAAGACAGTAATTCAGATCTTCTTGCTTTAATTCTTCTCTGTGTTACCATGACAAAATATTTATCAAAGTTCAAGAGATTACTGATATGCAATAATGACCAATGACTACACATTAATGGAGCTATTCATAATAAACTCATTAGTGAAGTAACTGGAAAAGAAGTTTAAATATAAAGAGTGATTTTCACTATTCTGTTTATACAGTATTGAAACAACCATAACTTCAAACACCCATAAAATTGCAAAACTCTAAGTAACATTAAACAATAATTGATAACTCTGAAATACTGCAACATCCTGAAGTATCTTCCAAATGACCAAAAACAGATGAAATTTTGTTCAGTATAACTTCAGTTTTTTTACACAGAATTATGTATTTTAAAAACTGTAATCCATGTAAGATATACACAAAACCCTGAACTGACTAGATTGTTCAATCAATAATACTCCACACTGCTTTGTTGTTATGGACAAATGAGCTTATAATTCAATGAAACCCATTTAAGAAATTCTAATCTATAGAATGACATGTTCAAATTGTTTGTTTTATTAACAAAAACCTCCTATTCCTTTGTCAGATGTTTAATTCCTCTAAATATCATCTTTAAAAGGCCTGAGCTGATTGTCGTCAAAATAAACCACAGGTCAAGTGCAACCCTCCAGTATCCAGCCTATGGGCTCTTCATGAGTTTTGGTTCCGTGTAAGCCACACAATGACCTTCCCATGAGTTTTCCATTGGAGATTCCACAGTCTAGTTTTAACGGTCTCCACAAAGTATCCCTCCCTTCTCTAGGCTTTGGGTAGAATGTCAAATTAATAACGGCATGTGGGTGCTTGCTTCGGCACATACACTAAATTGGAATGATACAAAGAAGATTAGCATGGCCCCTGTGCAGGGATGACACGCAAATTCGTGAAGCGTTCCATATTTTTAAGCTGGGATGAAGTGAGAGAGTGGCATGGACATATATACACTACCATATGTAAAACAGATAGCTAGTGGGAAGCAGCCTCATAGCACAGGGAGATTAGCTCGGTGCTTTGTGTCCACCTAGAGGGGTGGGATAGGGAGGGTGGGAGGGAGACGCAAGAGAGAGGAGATATGGGGATATGTATACATATAGCTGATTCACTTTGTTATAAAGCAGAAACTAACACACCATTGTAAAGCAATTATACTCCAATAAAGATGCTAAAAAAATAAACAACAAAATAAATAAACACTGATATAAGGGGAAAAAATGGCAGGTGGTGTTCCTTAGCATAGCCTGCCAAAATGTGATAATTTCCTTGGAAGAAAAGCCATGGGCTGCAATCATGCATCTGAGTTGACAGACATTCAGATGGATCCTATATAAAAAGAAAAGGTTGGTGTCTTCTGGAATATGAATGTCCACTTTTAATAAATTCAAACAGATCCCAACATAAACATCTTCAAACTTGATGGGTTTTACGTGACTCATCATTTCATAGATTCTTGGCACCAAATTTCTGGATATTATATAACCCAACCCACCGCAGTAGGGAGGAAACACCTTGAAGGGATACCCCTGGTATGAAAAATGGGGGTTTTGGTAAAATCCTCTATAGGAATAATCATCAATTAGAGGACAACTTGTGAAAAACTCCCCTGAGTGGTTTAAATTTAAAAGATACTTCACTAAGTTGCCAGTATTGATGAAAACACCAGTGTCTGTCTTCGTGATGTACCACGCGTTGGGGCAAAACTCAGTTACCCACCTAAATGCCATAATTGTTTTCAAGGTCACATTATTGTATGTGTCTAAAAAATCTTGTATTATGTTGCCATAAAGGAGGTGTTCATCCTCTAAGGATAATGCTAATACTTTGTCTTCCCTTTCAGCCTACCGGCCTAATAAGAAAAATGTAAGAACCTCATATCTCCACCAAGACTTCTTTTCGCCCCGAGTAACTCTAATGGCCCGTCTGGCTTTCACATCTGAGGGGTGTGAGGTCACCGGGATGACAAGACATGCATTTTGATGAGAGCAGCTCCAATGCTCTCGAAGTGTGAAGCGGAAGACTTGTCTGTAAATGGGCTCATAGTCATAGAAGTACATACAGTTCACGCGTTCTAGCACATTGTAGTAGGGAAGACTGAGGTACCACATCACCAGGAAACTCAGGAGCGACGGCAGCAGGAGGCTCCAGGGATCTCAGTGACATCCACCCGGAAGGGTGGTTCGGAGCTCCGGGGCCATTCACAGAAGCTCAGGAGCACGCAAGCCTCGGGTTCTTGATTTACTTCTTCTGAGTGAAAGACCTTCAGTTTCATCAACTGAACATTCCATAGCAAGTGGTAGTCAAAACTAATGCTTGAAATTTCTACTGAAACAAGACTCTCAGATTGGCCTAAAACTCTGCCATATACTGCTTACAAGATACATGCCTGTAGAATTTCAGATGAGACTAAAGCACTAGTTGAAGTCTTTTGTTTCCCGTATTCCATATGCTTTAATTAAACGATTTGCCGTGAACTCTCCAGCGCGCCGCGCGCACCCTGCTCCAATGCGGGCAGAGGGCCGACCCTCCCCTCTCCCCATTTTCCAAGGCCATGTTAATATTGACATCTTGGACAAGTCACTTAACATTTCTGAAACTCACTTTCTCCATCTCTAAAGTGGTATTAACGTATCACCTATTCCCTAGGTTTGTTATGAGGATTAACTGAGATAATCTGTAAATATTTCCTGGTAAAATATAAGCACTAAAAAATGGAATCCATTATTATTAATTATTATTTAATTGTATAATCTTGGAAAGAAACATATCAAAGGCGCATAGTAAACCCCTAATATGCATTTATGAATGAGTGGTTAACAGTGGTTGTCTATTTGTTGGGAGTAAGAGAGTTGGTGATTCTTTTTTCTCTTCTTCTGCATTTTCTAAATTTTATTGAATAAACATATTTATTATTTTATAAGAACATTTGTTCACCTCTCCGTCCACCCTAAATACCTAATAACCAAAATTATATATATTATATAATATTTACTATAATATATAATTTGATATAATAAATATATTTAATACATGTTTTAATATAGTTATTTCGTATTTAATTGATAAAGTATAGATTTATAACATATCTGAGGCTTTATTTAAAAGACTAAGAGTGTTAGAATGAGGGGGAAGATGCAGTGATGCCTCTGTGAATACAAACACATATGCACATATACATGCATAGACAGTCACAAATTATAGCAATAAGCTATTTGAACAAGACACACTTAAACCATGGCATCAAGAGTTTAAAAATAAATATGTAGTCTATAAATAAAGAAAGCAAGGATAACAATATTATTATCTGACATATAAAATTCAAGGTGACAAGCATCATACAGTAAGAATGCAAAGAGCTTGAATTATATTATTAATAATGTGGCCCATTTTTATATGGTAGAATACAGCAAATACGTAATTATGTTGCTGCGTTAGGAATTAAGAATTTCTGTGTACGAAAATAAGGGATCAAAATAAAATGACTCAGCAAAAACTTGTAATGTTAAATCTGAATTGGAAATACTATTAAATCATGAACTTTTTCTTTAAAAAGTATGTATTCCCTAGTTCTGTCCACTTAAAATGCCTGAAGGCAATGACACCCCCAGGAGCAATGAGTCCTCCTATATGTAGACTGTGCTCCGTAAATACCAGGGTTCTTTGGATAAGTGGCTGATTACAAGTCTGAAGCATAACATTAGACTTGCCTGAGACATCTTGTTCTAGAACTCACGGACACTATCACAGACTAATGGGGTTACAACCAGATGACACAGGAATCACATGAAGGAAGAAGGGACACGTGAACGCCAAAGAGCGCAAAGTCTACAAATTATTAAATCTATGGAACAGAAAAGTTATGAGTTAAAAAAGGAAAAGAAAAGAAGAATTTATAGTAGTACTTAATAAAGAGAAAGCCAAAATAAACTCAAATCCTGAAGATTATTGCAAATAACCATTACAACAAAGAAATCTAGCTAATGAAAGTGAAAGAGAAGATAGAATTTTAAAAATAATTCGACTTCTGGTTTCCAGTTCCATATGCAAGGAGCCTGGAAGTCACTCCATCATAGCAACAAGCAAAAAGCTGAACAGACTGAAAAATCAACAATTCCTCATGGATTCATAAGAGAGATTGAGGGCACAGGACAAATCCCCAGCACTGGAGAGACAGATGGCTGAGTACAGGGAGTCACATAGAGTCAGGAGCATAAACTGCCACAGGGACCAGTGCCAGGGTGGGAAAACCTCAACTATAATTAAAGAGCTGCTGGAAGCTCAGTGTGGACAAGTCTGAGAGTTAAAAACTTTGGGCAGACCCTATCACATTGAGATCCCCACGCGTTTTGTAAGTTTTACCCCCAGGAGCTCAACCAGATTCTCACTGTAAATACTAGAGAAAAATCCCCTCTTGCTTCCAGCAGCGGGAGGAGAAAAGAAAGAAACTGGAAATGAACCACAGTACTCTGGGTTGTTTTTTTTTTAATGGATAAAACAAACTTTATTTTATTTATTTTTTAAAAATTTATTGTAGGGCTTCCCTGGTGGTGCAGTGGTTGAGAGTCCGCCTGCCGATGCAGGGGACACGGGTTCGTGTCCCGGTCCGGGAGGATCCCACATGCCGCGGAGCAGCTGGGCCCATGAGCCATGGCTGCTGAGCCTGCGCGTCCGGAGCCTGTGCTCTGCAATGGGAGAGGCCACGACAGTGAGAGGCCCGCGTACCGCAAAAAAAAAAAAAAAGAAAAAAAAATTATTGTATAGTTGATTTATCTATAGTTGATTTACAATGTTTTGTTAATTTCTGCCATACAGCAGAGTGATTCAGTTGTATATATAGATACATTATGCATGTATATACATATACACATTATATATATATATATGTGTGTATATATATGTATACATTCTTTTCCATTATGGTTTATCACAGGATATTAAATATAGTTCCCTGTGCTATACAGTAGGAACTTGTTGTTTATCCATTGTATGTATAATAACTTGCATCTACTAATTCCCAACTCGCAATCCATCCCTCCCCATCCCTCTCTGCCTTGGCAACCACAAGTCTGTTCTCTATGTCTGTGAGTCTGTTTCTGTTTTTTTTTTTTGCGGTACGTGGGCCTCTCACTGCTGTGGCCTCTCCCACTGCGGAGCACAGGCTCCAGACGCGCAGGCTCAATGGCCATGGCTCACGGGCCCAGCCGCTCCACGGCATGTGGGATCTTCCCGGACTGGGGCACGAACCCGTGTCCCCTGCATCAGCAGGCAGACTCTCAACCACTGCGCCACCAGGGAAGCCCTGTTTCTGTTTTGTAAATAAGTTCATTTGTGTCGTATTTTAGATTCCACATATAATTGATATCCTATAGTATTTGTCTTTCTCTTTCTGACTTACTTCATTTAGTATGATAATCTCTAGGTCCATCCATATTGCTGTAAATGGCATCATTTCATTCTTTTTTATGGCTGAGTAGTATTTCTTTGTATATATCTGCCACATCTTCTTTATCCATTTATCTGTCAATGGACACTTAAGTTGTTTCCATGTCTTGGCGATTGTAAATGGTGCTGCAATGAACTGTGCTTAACAAGCCCTGTCCTTAGGAGAAAGTACTTAACCAGCACTTAATCTGCTGAGGTATTACCAGACCATAATGGACCTAGGGGAGGAAACTAATCAACTCCAGTCAGTTCTACACTTACACATGGGAGAAGGGAAACACTGAACTCCAGCTCATTCTAGCCATCCTGTCTGACTTAAGGGGAGAGAAAAAACTGAGAAATACTTGTGAGGTTCACAGTCTAGAGGCATAGGCTCAGGTAAGACTGAGACTTAATCATAGGACTATAGAATTATTCCCCTGCAAACCCACATTATCACCACATTACTAGAGAACTCTTTACAGCAGTGCTTTTACCCAGTACATCATGTCTGGCTATCAAGAAAAAATTACAAGGCATACTAAAAATCAAAAAACAAAATTTGAAGAGAAAGTGCAAGTGGCAGAACCAGACATAACAAGGATGTTAGAATTAACAGAAAAGGAATTTAAAATAACTATAGTTAATATGCTAAGGGCTCTAATGTAGACAGCATACAAGAACAGATAAACAAGGGAAACAGAGAGATGGAAATCCTAACAAAGAACTAAAAAGAAACAAAATGAGGAATACATTAGATGGGCTTATTAGTAAACTGGACACAGCTGAGGATAGAATCTCTAAGGATAGCTCAACAAAAACCTCCAAAATTGTAAATAAAAGATAGTAAAAACTTTAAAATAGAACAGACTATCCAAGGACTGTGGGACAACTACATAAGGAAACAGAAGAAATATCTGGAACAATAATGAGTGAATTTTCCCAAATTTTCAAACTGGTCAGACACAAAACCACAGATCCAGGAAGCTCAGGGAACACCAAGCAGGATAAATGAAAAGAAAATATATCTGCACCTAGGCATGTCATTTTCAAATTACAGGAAATCAAAGATAAAGAAAAATTTTAAAAGCAGCCAGAGGAGAAAAAATGTAAGAAAAGAATTATGTTCAACTTCTCCTCAGAAAACATGCAAGCAAGAATAGAGTGAAATATTTAAAGGGTTGAGAGAAAAAAACACCAACCTGGAATTCTGTACCCTACAAAATTATCCTTCAAGAGTGAAAGACTTCCTCAGACAAACAAAAAATGAGGGACTCTACTGCCAGTAGACCTGCCTTGCAAGAAATGTTAAAAGAAGTTCTTTAGAAGAAAGGAAAATAATATAGGTAAGAAATTCAGATCTACATAAAGAAAGGAAGGGCATTGAAAAAGGAATAAGTGAAAGTAAAATAAGAACTTTTATTTTTCTTATTCTTGGTTCTTAATAGATAACATTTTTTCAAAATAATAATAGCAACAATATATTCAATTATATATATATTTGTAAATGCTTATGTGTAAGTGAAATGAATGACAACAGTGATACAAGGGATGAGGAAGAAGGAATTAGGGTAACTTTCTTATTATAAGGTACTCACTACCAGTGAAGTGGCATAGTTTATTTAAAAGAGAACTTGGATTATTTGTAACTAAATATTGCAAACTCTAGGGCAAGAACTAAAATAGGGGGAAAAAAATGAAGCATAACAGATATGCTAAAA